CGTGCTGTGTATCCTCGCTCTCCTGCTCTCCTGTGCGTGTGTGCACGTCCTCGCTGAAGAAGTGCCTGCCGCCGATCTTTCCGACCAAGTCCCTGATACGGAGAGTGAGACAAAGATTGTTCTTAATGGTACTCCTACGTGCACTAATGCTGATGGTACTCCTGGGTGCTCTCCTGGTTCTGGTACTACTGCTGCAGTTCCTGCCCCTGCCGCTCCTCCTTTAACTCATGCAGCTCCTCAAGGTCCTGCTGTTGATGCTGCTGAACCTTTAGCGCCAGATCCTTCTGGAGTTGTTGGTACACAAGCGACTGAAGAGAGTGAAACCGGGAATGAAAAGAGTACGGATACGAAGAAACCTGCACATGATGGAGGTTCTCCAAACATGGACAATTCTCAAAGTGAAGCTGTGAAGAACAATGCGGGAACAGAAGGACCACAGGGAGATCAAAATGGAGCACAACCCAATTCTTCTACTGCAGCCAGTACAGGTAACACAGACACTCCAGAAAACAGTGGGAGACAAGAACAGACAACTGACACAAAGGATTCTCAACCAAACAATAATACAGTTGATACCAATACCTCAACAAGCACAACCTCTGAGACTGTCAACACACCTAATAATGAAGAATCATCCACCACTACTACCACCACCACCACAACAACAACAACAACACTTCCTCCTGAACTCACAAACAACAAGAAGGGTGATGCAGACAGCAGCAGCAGTATCAGCAGTTCTGTGTGGGTACGTGTACCACTACTGATTGTGGTTACACTGGCCTGTATTCTTGTGTGCTGATTGACTGGTGTGGTGGTGCGGTGGTGTGACTCAGGTCATCCTTTGTTTTCTTTCTTTTGCATACATCCCTAAAGTCTAACTAATCTTCCACCTGTTGGGATTATCTTTTCTTTTTTTGTTTGTTAATGTTAAAGTGTTTTGTGTGTTTTTTGCTCTCTCTGTGTTTATCCTATAATTATTATTGCTACTCCATTGTGTGTGTGTGTTCTTGGAGACTCTCTCTGTGTGTGTGTGCCTGGGCTTGCACTGTAATGATGATGAACTGTTTTTATTGTATTGAGAAAAAGGAAAAAAGAAATAATAATAACAAATGAATTTATATTTATAATTGCGTATACATACACACATACATAGACTTACAACCATAGTTGGTGTATATTTCTGTGTTTACTTTGTAAGTTGGGCTCAGTGTTTAATATCTGTTTCTTTTTTTTTGTTTGCTTTTAGGTTTTGTTGAGGTGCATCTTCTGTGTTGTGGCCCTGCAAAATGTTTTTGTGCTTTTCTTCGTGCAGAAGGAATGAATAATAACTGATACATATTTATATTTCTAAGTGCGTACTAACTGAAGTGTACCCATATTTTTCTGATTTGTGTCTTTGATGATGCTGTGGGTATTCTTTAAAAAAAAAATTTCGTTTTGATTCGGTGCTGTGTTTGTGGTTCCTGTTGATATTGATTTTGATGGTGTTGTTTTGTATGACTGTTGTTTTTGTTTTTGCTCTCTCTGTTACTGTCGGGGAACGTGTTTGTGGTTATTTTACGATTGTTTTCTTTTCTTTTTTTTTCTTTGTGCAACTCAGATACCATAAATAAGGAAAACAACTGCTGCTGTGATGTTTCTTTACCGTGTGTTGTATGTGGTGGCGTTACTTTTGAGCATAGTCTCTTTATGTGTGGCGGCTGATACTTCTGAACTGCCTTCAGGTGAAGTTGTTGATGGTGGTTGTACTCCTGAAGATAGTCAAGCTCAAAAGTGTGCTAATTCTGCTGAAGGTGACCCTGGTCATGCTGGACCTCCTGGCAAAGCAGGTGATGCTGGCCCTCCTGGAGATACTGGCGAAGACCACAATGTTTCTGACGATACTAGAGTAAATCAGGGAAATCCCACTAATGGTTCCATTCCTGATGCTCACTCTTCACAACGACAATCTTCTGGTGAACCGGGTACGCAAGGTCCTTCTGGCCAAAATGCTGAAGGAAGCAACGTTCCTGGTCGTACCGAAGAAAATCAGGAAGTCACAGAAGGTATTCGTTCTGTTACCACAGTTACTCCTGAATCTTCTACTTCTGTTCTCACTCCTCCTCCTAACCCTTCTGCGGGGAGTGCTGTTGAGTCTTCAGATGATGGCCAAACTGGAAGCAACGGCAACCATACACCACGTGAGGGTGATAATGGAGATAACAATGGAACTGCGGCAACACAACCTTCTTCTGCTGACTCTTCTAACACTTCGGCCACAGTGAGTGGTGATGGTTCTGGTACTACAACACCTGAGAATGGCACTACACCTGCATACAGTGAGTCACTAAGTAATCAGGAAGAGGTTGCAGGAGGTACAGAAACCACCACCACCACCACAACAACAACAACACTTCCTCCTGAACTCACAAACAACAAGAAGGGTGATGCAGACAGCAGCAGCAGTATCAGCAGTTCTGTGTGGGTGCGTGTACCATTACTGATTGTGGTTACACTGGCCTGTATTCTTGTGTGCTGATTGTGATGGTGATGGTGGTGTGACTCAGGTCATCCTTTGTTTTCTTTTCATCTTTTTTTGCATGCATCCCTATAGTCTAACTAATCTTCCACCGGATGGGAATTATCTTCTTTTTTTGTTTCTTAATGATATTGTGTTTTGTGTGTGTTTTTGCTCTCTGTGTTTATCCTATAATTATTATTATTGCTACTCCATTGTGTGTGTGTGCCTGGGCTTGCACTGTGATGATAATGATGATGAACTGCTTTTTGTAGTGGGAGGGAAAAGAAATAATAATAATGTTAACAGATACATATTTATATTTATAATTGCGTATATACACATATAGACTTACACCCATAGTTGGTGAATATTTCTGTGTTTACTGGATAAATTGGGCTAATGGTTAATATCTGTTTCTTTGCTTGATGATTTTGCTAGGTGGTCTCTGAGCCTTTTTAAAGATATTTGTGAGTGTGGGCTTTTTTCTTTGTTTTTACTCTTACTGAGGTTATTGTGCTGTATTGCATTCTTTAACTGGTAGGTTTTACGTTCACGATGTGAGTTTCCATAGTGGTAATTGATTTGTGTGTCCTAACATGTGTGATACTTCATTTATTTTCTTTTTTACTTTTTGGTTGTCTTTCTTTCTAGATCAGTGTTTTTACGCAAACCAAACTATTGTCTCTCTCATGATGATGATGATGATGCGCCGTGTGATGTGTGTGTTGGCCGTTGTGCTGTGCTGCGCCTGCGGGTATACCATGACGGCTACTGCTAGCAATGTGGCGTCACTTGCTCCTTATTGGCGTGATTATTCTTATCATGATTATACGAAACCTGTTGTGGAGGTGTCGTGCTTGGCCGACAAAGCGCCTCTTGTACGCCGCAGTGGCGAAAGCAAGTGGCGTGCATGCACTTCTGTCTTAACTGAGCATGATTGTGAGCCGTACAAAAAGAAGTGCACCGATAGCGCCACAGCAATCTTTTCAAATCTTTATGATAATCCTAACCTTACAATACCAGATCCTCATGTGAAGGGACAAGGCACACTTGGTCAGGGGAAAAATGAAAATGGTGAACCTGGCATTCGTGGAGTGGAACCTGCTGCTGGACAGGGACATCAAGATACAATTAGACCGCAGGAAGTAATAACGGAGGAGAAATCCACAGTTCATGACAGCTATGTGGAGACTAGTGGAATCCAACAAGAGTTAACTCCTGTTCCAGCTACTGTTCCATCACCTACAAAAGCTACAGAACCACGCACTACACCAGAAGGTAAACCTGAATCAGAAAGAACTGAAAATCCACGTTCAGGGGAACACTCAACTGAAGAGGTTGATACAAAACAAACTAACCCACAAACACAGTCTGAAAATACCACAACAAGCTCAAAAGAAACAAATACTACTATTCCGTCAAGCACCGAGAATACTGTCAGTGAAGAATCAACCGCGACTCCTTCTCGTGACTCTAATCTTACTCAGCAATCTACTGCAACTGATGATGTAACTGCCGCACCAAACTCACCAGAAACAAATACCACTTCCACTACTCCGCCGAGCTCCGAGAACACGACCACCACAACAACGACACTTCCTCCCGCACCCGACACACAGGTCAGCAGCAACATCACTTCCACAGTGCAGAATAAGGCTAATGTTGACAGCAGTGTCAATCCTGTGTGGATGCGCACTGCAGCACCGCTGCTGATTGTGGCTGTGTTGTTCTCCGTTACTGTGTACTGAACGGTGAGACTCACTTGAGGAGAAATAATAATAATAATGGTTAAACTAACATAATCATAATTGCGTACATCCGTCATGGGTGAATGAATCTAATAATCTTTTTACCTGCTTTCTCTTTTAATTGAAATTTCTTTTCCTTTTATGTGTGCGTGTTTTCTTTTTCTAATAATTCCATTACTTGCTTTTTCTCGTTGTGTGTTTGCGGAAAACTGGGCTGTTCTGTTCACTGACGGTATACATCTCTTGCTAGTACACACATGTGTGTGTGTGTGTGCAGTAATTTAATATACATAAACTAGAGCCATGGGGTATTGTGTGTTTTATTGGACACACTCTCTCTTATTTGGTTATTGTGGGATGTGTTTTTTTTTTTTCTATTAAGGGGTACATATTATCACTACAAGCGGGATATTTCTTTTTCTTTTGTTTTAGTGTACAGTTGTTGCTTCTCTCTCTCTACTCCACTGTGAGTATTTGTGCCCTGCATCCACTTACTATGTGTGCATCTTTCTTCCTACTTCTTTCTTGTATCAGTCTATTGAAGTAAAACACAACAATGACAAAGGCTGTAATGGCGAGGTGTTATCTGCTCTGTTTATTAACTCTTGCACTCTATTGTGCTTGTGGGTTAGTATGGGCTGATAGTCCTAAAGTTTCTGATGCCCTTTTTTAAAACTCCCACTGTTGGTGTTCCTTCTCTTGTTCATCATGCTATTTATGTGGCTGTTAAACGTCTTGAGGATGTTGGGAATGGGAGCGATGAGGAAGATGATGACGTTGAGGGTGAAGTTGAGGATGAGGAATACGAAGAGGATGAAAAGGAATACACTTCAACTTGAAGGAGTCCTGTGAAATCCCGCACTGCAGCTAATGTTGAACCAAATGTAAAGAGTGCTGCAGACAGCAGCAGCAGTATCAGCAGTTCTGTGTGGGTGCGTGTACCATTACTGATTGTGGTTACACTGGCCTGTATTCTTGTGTGCTGATTGTAGTAGTGGTAGGTGTGGTGTGACTCAGGTCATCCTTTGTTTTCTTTTCTTTTTTTGGATGCATCCTTACAGTCTAACTAATCTTTCACCTGTTGGGAGTTATCTTCTTTTTTGTTTCTTAATGTTAATGTGTGTTTTGTGTGTTTTTGCTCTCTGTGTTTATCCTATAATTATAATTATTGCTACTCCATTGTGTGTGTGTGTGTTCTTGGAGACTCTCTCTCTCTGTGTGTGCACCTGGGCTTGCACTGTAATGATGATGAACTGTTTTTTGCAGTGAAAAGAAAAATGAAATAATAATAAGAGATGAATTTATATTTATAATTGCGTATATATACACATATAGACTTACACCCATAGTTGGTGTATTTCTGTGTTTACTGAAGAAGTTGGGCTAATGGTTAATATCGTTTTGTTTGCTGTTTGTTGTGCTGGGTGCTTGTGCGTTTGTGGCTTGAACTGTTATGCTGTTATGTTTTTCGCTAGTGATAACAAATATTATCTATTACACATAAATTAATAATATGCTATAATCTGTCCAACAAATAGAGAGCTATATAATTGTATGTTACTTGCTTTTGTTGGTTACTTATAGTTTCATGTTTTTCTGTTTCGTGTTAATTGGGATTTTCTTCGTTATAGTGGAATTGTGTGCTTGCCCTTTTATTGGTATTCTGAGCATACTTGGGGTATTACTTTTTCTGTGTGGGTTGGTTTTTTTTTTTCAGTGGTTTTTTGTGGTTTTTTTTTTTGCTGTATTATCTGTTTCACATTCAATTGTTTCTTTGTTTTTTCCCTTTCTTATGTACAGTTTAGTGAAAGTACGCCAAAAAAAATGACTTCTCCATTGATGCTGCCACGCCATGTATTCTTCATTATCATTCTGATAATGAGCACCTCTTTTGTGTGCGTGTTAGGCGCAAGTGATGAATCTAATCTTGAGAGGGAACCAGAAGCTATTGCTCCTGAAGGTTCTAGTAGACCTTGCACACCTGGTACTGAGCCTACTTGTAAAGAAGAGAAACCGGCACCTCAACTATCACCGGAACCGATACCTAGACAGTCTGATCAGGTTTCTCGTGTTGATGGACCTCCTATGGAGTCTGGAGGTGGTGGTGGTGGTGCTCGTGGTGCTCAGCAGGGAGATTCTGGACTTGTTGTTGGTCGTCCTGAAGATGCGAAGCAACTCGGGAAGGATAATGAAGTACTCACCTCGCATACTACCACTTTAAATAGTGGTAGTGGTACTCAGTCTGATTTGAGACAAAAAGAATCACAGATTCCTGCTACTTCGCCTTCACAAACCCAACAAGATTCTCTAAAAGAAACTGGTGGTCATGCAGAGCATGAGAACACTGAAGACAACAGGCACATTTCTGCGGGACAGGATCACCCGAGTAACAACGTGGTTGCTAGAGAAGATGCGCCTGCTACTAATACTGACCAAGCAGGAAGACCACAGGAGACTCAAAATGGATTACATCCCAATTCTTCTACTGAACCCAGTACAAGTGGTACTAACGCTCAAGAAGAGAGTACGCAGCAGGAACAGACATCTGACACACAGGACTCCCAATCAAAGAACGGTACAGATGAAGCGGCAAGAACAACTTCTGACACTCCCATCAACAACAATAATGAGGAATCACCTTCATCCACCACCACCACCACCACCACAACAACAACAACACTTCCTCCTGAACTCACAAACAACAAGAAGAGTGATGCAGACAGCAGCAGCAGTATCAGTTCTGTGTGGATGCGCACTGCAGCACCGCTGCTGATTGTGACTGTGTTGTTCTCCGCTAGTGTGTACTGAACGGTGGGACTCACTTGAGAGCAAAAAATAATAATGGTTATACTAACTTTATCATATTTGCTTATATCCCCCATGGGTGAATAAACTAATAATATGTTTACCAGCTTTCTCTTTCTAATTGGAATATCTTTTCTTTTACTTTTACTTTTGTGTGTGTGTTTCTCCTTTTTCTTATAATTCCATTACTTGCTTTTTCCGTTGTGTGTTTGCAGAAAACGGGGCTGTTTTGCTCACTGACGGTATACATCTCTTGCTAGTACACACAGATGTGTGTGTGTGCAGTAATTTATTACATGAACTAGAGCCATGGGGTATTGTGTGTATTTGGCTCTCTCTCTTATTTGGGTAATGTGTGGTCTTCTCTTTTTCTTTTTTTTTCTATTAATTGGTACAAATTATCACTACAAGCGGGATATTCCTTTTCTTGCTTTACTGTGCAATTGCTGCTTCTCTCTCTTTCCCACTGGGAGTCTTTGTTGTATTGTGTATGTTTATTTGTTTCTGTTTTTCACTCCCTTCTTTCTTTTGCATTCCATTGGAGTAAGACAGGTGCAACGATATCCATAACAATACCTGCAACCATTGGAAATAATAATGATGCGCCACGTGCTGTGTATCCTCGCTCTCCTGCTCTCCTGTGCGTGTGTGCACGTCCTCGCTGAAGAAGTGCCAGCCGCCGATCTTTCCGACCAAGTCCCTGATACGGAGAGTGAGACAAAGATTCTTCTTCAAGGTACTCCTGTTCATTGCGCTGAAGGTAATAATAAAGATGGTCTGCTTTGTCCAAAGGAACAATGTATTTCAACACATGATAAATGTACTTCCCCAGGTGCGGAACCTGAACGAGGTGTTGCTGCTTCGGCGTGCACTTCTAGTAAAGAAGGACAGCAGAAACCCTGCGAAAAACCACCCAGGGAGGGGTTACCTCAAGGACAAGGAGAAGAACAAGAAGATCCTAATAGCAAAATACAATTGCAAACCAACCAAACTGGAGGTGCTCCTGCGGATCATGGTACACCACCAGAAGAACAAATTAAGGTAACTTCACCGGAACAAGTAAATGCAGAAGATCTTCATGTACCCAAAGGTGACTCAAGTAAACCTGGTGGAAGTGAAGTCCCTTCTCCATCTGGTGAGGCACCTAGTGGTCCGACTGCGATTGAAGGCCAAACTGAAAACAGCGACAAGGCGGCAGGTGGAACTCTACCGAACGAGGAGAGTGCAGGACAACAGCCTTCTACTACCTCTTCTTCTACCAATACAGTCACAGAGAGTGTTGGTAGCTCTGAAACTTCACCTGGGAATGACAATACATCTGCAGGAACTGGGTCAACAAGTAACCAAGAAGGTGATATGGGGAATGCAGAAACAACACCCACTACCACCATCACAACAACAACAACAACAACAACAACACTTCCTCCTGAACTCACAAACAACAAGAAGGGTGATGCAGACAGCAGCAGCAGTATCAGCAGTTCTGTGTGGGTGCGTGTACCACTACTGATTGTGGTTACACTGGCCTGTATTCTTGTGTGATGGTGTGGTGTGACTCAGGTCATCCTTTGTTTTCTTTTTCTTTTTTTTTGCATGCATCCCTACAGTCTAACTAATCTTCCACCTGTTGCGAATTTCTCTTTTTTTTGTTTTATTTTACTGTTTTTTGTTTGTTTTTATCCTATATATGCTACTCCTTTGTGTGTGGTTTTGGCTAGGTTGTTGTGTGCTTTTCTTTCCACCAATGACAGCTTGCCTTGTGCAATGAGAGAAAAAATATATATAACAGATACACTTTTATACATATATTATTAAGTGTGCAACGTTTTACATTGATAGTAGTTGTATTTGGCCGTTTACTGTAGAATATGGGCTATTTGTTGATTCCTTTTTGCTTGATTTGCGTTTGTTTGGATTGTTTTTTTGTCCAGAGAGGAAAAGTAAAAGAAAATATACATACATATATATTGATAATTTCCTATACATGACTATGGAAGGATGTACTTTTGTAGTACTGTATGTGCTGTGGCAGCTGATTCTGTTTTTAAATTTTTTTGCTTTTTTGATTTCAGGTTGGGGGTCCTCTGCAGTACAGTGGGTTGTGTGCATTCTCTTTTTTCTGCGGAGTTGTACTGATGATTGGTACTGTAAACATGGTTTTTTGTGTGGGACTATTTTCTCTTGTTGTTGTTACATTTTGTATTATTTCTCTGCTGCACTGTTGTAATCTCTCCTATTCATTTTTCCTTTCCTGTGTTCTTTTTCTTTATTGTTTCAGCGTTATTATTCTTCCTTTACACATGTAGATGCAT